CTTGCACGAGCAAACAGAAACATGCAGATGTATGACGACGCTCAATACGCTGTTAATAAATCTCTGGCTTTAGATAAAACATATCAAGACGCTATTCGAGAATCAAAAGTTATCGATAGTCTTAAAAATGAGCGAATGAACCAACGAATTGCACATTATGAAAATATGGTGGTTCGTACAGTTTATACAAAAGATCGAGAATATTATAATATTCTGTCAATCGACGGTGGTGGCATTCGGGGAATCTTACCGGCTGTTTGGCTGTCGGAAATTGAGCGAAAAACACATCGGTCGATTGCCTCCATGTTTCAGATGGTTGCTGGCACTTCAACGGGTGCAATAATAGCGGCTGGTTTAACTATCCCGCAACAGCATCCGATGTCAGTTGAACCACTTTATAAAGCGGCTGATCTAGTAAAACTTTATACCACTAAGGCATCTGAAATATTTTCTCGTAGTAATACATTGGGCAGTTACATTAAAACCGATCCGAGATACACTGATCGGGGTCGAAAGACGTTATTTAGCACATATTTTAGAAACACACGTATTTCAGAAGTGCTAACTGATCTTGTTATTCCTGCTGTAACGGCTGAAAACCCTTGTACTCATTTATTCACAAAGTGCGCTGCCGTTGCTGATTCATCAAAAAATCACATGTTACAAGAGGTATTGATGTGTACAACAGCGGCTCCAACTTATTTTTCGCCATACAAACTCGGGACAACTGTCTATACGGATGGTGGCGTACACCTCAATCAACCATCGCTCGCTGCTTGTAATGAAGCAATACGGACAGGCCGTAGTAGTCAAGAACGTATATTTTTGCTGTCTTTGGGGACCGGTAGTTTTGTTCGTGATCCATTAAATCCCAATGCCACGCGTAACTTATGGTTTTATTTGACACATCGCGAGACAGTTCTTCAAGTTATCCTTGATGGCCCACAAAATAATATTGATTCACAGTGTACAGGCATAATCGGAGAAAATTATCACCGATGGCAAGTTTGGTTTGAAGAATCAATTAAACTAGATGATACAAATCCAAAAACAATTGAATTTCTATTTGATACAGCTCGCGCTCATATAGAAGAAATGGAAGGGTATGATAATAAATATCGATTAGGACTGTTGATTGATCATTTAAAAGAGTCATAAAAAACAGCTGCTTTGTCTCACAGAATTTCCCTCGTAATACTTTGCAAATTAACGCTAATCGAAGAAAGTCGCTTTGAAAGCAAAATACTACAATAATTCTGGAAGTATTTCTTTACAATCTTCTATTTTAATCCTACTAAGTTAGTTTTTGAGAAAGTTTTGAGATAGAATTATTAAATACAACTCAGATAAAGAAAATTTTTAACTGTATGCATTTCCCTATGTGTGTTTCTTTCTTCTAACTGCATCCTGTAAAGCACATGTGATGATTATGAACCATTTTTTTCATATGTTGAAAAGTT